GATTGGTGTTTTTTTTTTCTTGGAATATATTCCTAGAAGTGGTATTACTGGGTCAAATGGCAGTTCCATTTTTAATTTTTTGAGAAAACACCATACTGTTTTCAATGGCTGCACCAGTCTGCATTCCCACCAGCAGTGAAGAAGGGTTTCTTTTTCTCCGCATCCTCTCCAGCACTTGTCATTTGTTGTTGATGATAGCCATTCTGACAGGTGTGAGATGGCACCTCATTGTTGTTTTGATTTGCATCTCTCAGATGATTAATGACTGAGCATGTTTTCATATGTCTCTTGGCTTTCTGAATGTCCTCTTTCAAAAACTGTCTATTTAGGTCCATTGCCCATTTTTTGATTGGATTGTTTATCTTCCTTTTGTTAAGTTGTATGAGTTCCTTGTAAATGTTGGAGATTAAACCCTTATCGGAGATGACATTGGCAAATATGTTCTCCCATGCAGTGGGCTTTCTTGATGTTTTGTTGATGGTTTCTTTTGCTGTGCAGAAGCTTTTTATTTTAATGTAGTCCTATTTTTGTATTTTCTCTTTAGTTTCCATTGCCCTAGGAGCTGTATCGGTAAAGACATTGCTATGACAAATGTCTGCTATTTTGTGGTCTATGGCTTCTTCTAAGATTTTTACGGTTTCCTCTCTACATTTAAGTTCTTTATCCATTTTGAGTTTATTTTTGTGTATGGTGTAAGTTGGTAGCCTAGTTCATTTTTTTTTTTGCATGTATCTGTCCAGTTTTCCCAACACCAGTTATTGAAGAGACTGTCTTGACTCCATTGTATGCTCTTGCTTCCTTTGTCAAATATTAATTGAGCATTCTGGCTTGTGTCGATCTCTGGGTTCTCTGTTCTGTCCCACTGGTCTATATGTCTGTTCTTGTGCCAGTACCAGGCAGTTTTGAGAACGGTGGCTTTGTAGTATAGCTTAATATCTGGTATTGTGATCCCTCCAACATTGTTCTTCTTTCTCAAGATTACTGCAGCTATTCAGGGTCTTTTTTATTACAGATGAATTTTTGGCAATTTGTTCTAGGACTCTGAAGTATGCCATTGGTATTTTATTGGGGATTGCGTTGAATTTATAGATTGCTTTGGGTAGTATGAACATTTTAATGATGTTGATTCTACCAATACATGAACATGGTATGTTCTTCCATCTGTTTATGTCTTCCTCTATCTATTTTTTTCAGTGTCCTGTAGTTTTACGAGTACAGGTCATTTGTCTCCTTGGTTAAGTTTATTCCGAGGTATCTTAATTTTTGTTGTTGCAAAGCTAAGTGGGATTGCTCTTTTAATTTCTCTTTCTGTGAGTTCATTATTGGTGTATAGAAAAGCCATAGACTTCTGGGTGTAATTTTTATCCTGCTACAATGCCAAATTCATTTATTAAGTCTAGTAATTTTTGATGGAGTCTTTGGGGTTTTCTATGTACAATATCATGTGATTTGTGAATAGGACAGTTTTACTTTTTCTTTTCCAATTTAGATGCCTTTTATTTCTTCTTCTTGTCTGATTGCAATGTCTAGTACTTCCAGTACTATGTCGAAGAGGAGTGAGGATAGTGGGCATCCCTGTCTTGTTCCTGTTCTCAGGGGAAATGGTTTTAGATTTTGCCCATTGAATATGATGTTGGCTGTGTGTTTGTCATATATGGCTCTTATTATGTTGAGGTATGATCCTTCTATTCCCACCTTGCTGAGAGTTTTTATCAAGAAAGGGTGTTGGATTTTGTCAAATGCTTTTTCTGCTTCAATTGATACAATTATATGGTTTTTATCTCTCAGTTTGTTTATGTGGTGCATCACATTTATTGATTTGTGGATTTTGGACCATCCTTGCATACCTGGGATAAATCCTACTTGGTCATGGTGTATGATCTTTCTATTGTATTGCTCGATTCAATTTGCTAGAATTTTGTTGAGGATTTTGGCATCTATGTTCATGAGGGATATTGGCCTGTAATTCTCTTTCTTTGTATTATCTTTATCTGGTTTTGGGATTAGGGTAATCCTGGCTTCGTAGAAAGAGTTTGGAAGTGCTCCTTCCTCTTGAATTTTTTTGAATAGTCTGAGGAAGATAGGTTTTATTTCTTCTTTGAATGTTTGATAAAACTCCCCTGGGAAGCTGTCTGGTCCAGGGCTTTTGTTTGTTGGAAGTTTTTTATTACTGCTTTAATTTCCTCCATAGTTATCGGCCTATTCAGATTTTTTTTATTCCTCCTGATTGAGTTTGGGATGGTTGCATTTTTTTAGAAATATGTCCATTTCTTCTAGGTTGACCAGTTTGTTGGAGTTGTGCATAGTATTTTTTTTTATGATTCTTCATATTTCTGTGGCTTCTGTTGTTATTTCACCACTTTTGTTTCTGATTTTGTTTATTTTGGGTCCTTTCTCTTTGCTTCTTGGTGAGCCTGGCTAGAGGTTCATCAATCTTGTTTATCCTTTCTAAGAACCAGCTCTTGGTTTCATTGATTTTTTTGTATTGTTTTTTTGTCTCTATGTCATTTATTTCCACTCTGATCTTTATTATTTCCTTCCTTCTGATCACACTGGACTTTTCTTGTTGCTCTTTTTTTAATTCTTCAAGTTGCATAGATGGTTTATTACCAGTTTTTCTTGTTGTTGTTTTTTTTGTTTTTTTGAGATAGGCCTGTAATACTATGAATTTCCCTCTCAGGACTGCTTTCACTGTGTCCCAAAGATTTTAGATTGTTGTGTTTTCATTGTCGTTTGTTTCCAGGATGTGTTTTATTTCTACTTTGATCTCTTTGGTAACCCACTCATCCTATATAATAAAAGAGAAACATGCAAATTAACCACCCCTCTGCTATGCTCAAGCCACGCCCACCAGCCATGCCCACCAGGAGCGAGTATGCAAATGAACCCAGCTAAGATGGTGGTGGCCACGGAGCTGGAGCAAGCAGAATGCTTTGGTTGACCCTGGCAATGGAGGAATCCAAGCTTCCCGCCTGCCCTGACCGACCCTGGGCTCCACTCAAGGCTACAAAGTTTCAATTATAAAAGATAAATAAATCCAAGATACCTGCTTCCAGCCAGCTGTGGCCTCCACTCAAGGAGGGGCTGAGAGCCTGGATTGCCAGGGGCAACCCAGGCTTCCAGCTGGACCTGGGCTCTGCTCAAAGCTACAAAGTTTCAATTATAGAAGATAAATAAATCCCAGGAAAAAAAAAGAAAAAAAGGAGACCCTGGGAGCTTGGGTCACCAGGGGGCATGGTCAGCCTGAAAATGGCCATCAGCCCATCACCCAGGCTGGCCAGGCACCCAAGCAGGACTCCCCCACCCTGAAGGGGCTGTGGGAAGCCTGAAAATGGCCCTCAGCTCCTCACCCAGGCTGGCCACACCCCCATGAGGTGAAGGTCCCCAATGGGGGGCTTGACCAGCCTGAAAATGGCCCTCAGCCCCTCCCTCAGGCTGGCCAGGCACCTCAACAGATCCTCACCCTGATCCAGGACACCTTTCAGGGCAAACCAGCTGGCTCCCACCTATGCACCAGGCCTGTATCCTATATAATAAAAGGGTAATATGCAAATTGACCCTAACAGCAGAACAACTGGAAATAACTGGTCACTATGACACACACTGACCACCAGGGGGCAGATGCTCAATGCAGGAGCTGCTCCCTGGTGGTCAGCATGCTCCCACAGGAGGAGCTCTGCTCAGCCACAAGCCAGGCTGCCAGCTGCCAGCACAGCAGTGGTAGCGGGAGCCTCTCCCGCCTCCTCAGCAGCACTAAGGATGTCCAATTGCAGTTTAGGCCTGCTCCCTGCTGGCAAGTGGACATCCCCCGAGGGCTGCCGGGCTACCAGAGGGATGTCTGACTACCA